GATGCAGACGAAGGCGGCGGCGCAAATCAGTACGAGGTGGATAACGCAAGACACACGAGACGCACCCGAACCCACTCGACCGGCGCACGCCAGCCAGGACGGTGGACAGAAGGACCGCGTCTACGGTATAATGCACAAGCTTCCCGATCATGCTCATATGTGTGGCAAAGACGAGCTCCTATCTGGTCTAGATGCTGTATCGCAGGTAGTCCTGATGATAACGAAGTTCGGGATCGACTGTTTGAAACGATGTTCCAATATCGGAATAGAATACGCTGTGGTGCTCACTGACTGTTTCTATATGAGGGCGTCGCGGATGCAGAGAGGGAAGTGGATATGGGTCGCTCGGCACTCCGAGTCGCGAGCGCGGAGCATCTCCGAGTCCGTGCCGCGTCGCGTCTCCTCGGCAAAATCACGTGCTTCCAGCGAAGCAGAGGCCGCGGAGTTTGTATTTTGAACTCCGATATTCTTGCTGCATTTGGAAAGTCACTCTCCTTATCCGGCTTTCACGAGCTTCTCGTGTCAACTTTTGCATACATGTACAGGTGGGTTTGAAAAGTTACGGACCGGCCGAATAAGGAAGGCGTGTCGATGCGCGTCGAAAGTGTGGACTGCACAAAAAAAACTCGACCCGTCAAATAAAATTTTCATAATCATCATGACTTCTGTTGATTTATTCTGCAGTCAAGCCGCAGGAGCCATACCTCTAAAAACAAAACTGACATTGTAAGGGTGTTGAGTGCTGGCATGAGCAGCCTCTTTTTTTTCGGTCGGTCCGTGACTTTTCAAATTTACCCGTGCATTCCAAATAGTCATAGACCGAACACCATAGCACAAGACAAGATGTTTTACAACACGAATTCAAGACTCGGAATACATGCGAATGCGAGTAAGTTTGGTAGGCTCGAGGGAGAAGATGAGCAGAAACAGACGAGTGCATTAGTAAACGCGGAGAAAATAATCGGAAGAATAAAAACGAATGTGAGAATACAATCAGTGCGCGGTCCCCTCATCCTCCTGAGTCGCGACAGGCTTTCCCGCGACGCCAGCGATGAAGCCGTCCTGGTTCTCGTTCGAGAGGTCCTCGAGCGTGCGGTTCATCGTCTCCGGTAGCAGGAGCGTCGAGAAAATCCCCGTCAGCATGAAGAACGCGAATATCTCGAGGCTAGAAGTATTTAAAAAAACATTTAGTATCAGGCCAGGGAGCAGTGAACGGAGTGTCACAACGCACATATGTTTGACGAAGTTGTTTTTACCGCCAATGTTTACGAGGCGCGCAAACCCGACCTGAGCGACGATCGCGCCGAGCTTCCCAGATGCCGCAGAAATGCCGTGCGCCGTGCTCCTGTACCGCGTCGGGAACGCCTCGCCGGGGATGACAAACGTCGTCGTGTTTGGGCCGAAGTTCTGGAAGAAGTCCGCGAGGCAATAGAGGAACACGAACGCCCCCTTGCCGCCGCTCGTCGAGATAAGCTTGTCGTACCCGAAGCCCATGATTACGAACAGCACGGTAAGCATCGCGAAGCCCATCAATTGAATTGGCTTGCGGCCCCAACGGTCAATGAGTAGGAAGGTCGCATAGTAGCCGGGGATAAGACCTGCGGCGGAGAGGATGAGGTTTCCGACGCAAACATTTTTCAGGTTCAGATATATCTTTTCCTGTGCCCGTGACACTAGACGAAGGTGAGCCGAAGCCGATTGCGGTCAGAATGATGGACGAGTTGAGTCCGAGACCGTAAAATGCAATCTACATTAGAAAACAAAAATTAGCTAAAGTATACGAGGAAACGGACAGCAACGTACATCGAGCGCGAACCAGCTCCAACTGGTGCCAATGAGCACCTTCATGTTCTCCCATTTCCCGAAATAGGTCGCAAAGTCGTTCTTCGTCGCCTTGGGCGCGACGACGCGCTGGACGACAGCATCCGGATCGACGACAAATGTGCCGCTGGTCAGGAAATTCTCGACATCCGAAGCGGCCTGCTGCACGTTGCGCTCGATGTCCATGGTGAATCTCGGCGTCTCGGGAATCGTGAGCCGGAAGTAGAGCGCTATGCATGCGGGCACGCAGCCGAGACCTATGAGTAGGCGCCACATGAAGTCGACGTGCTTGAGGTCCGTCGGGCTGTCCTTCAAGACTGAAGACTTGAATGCGGCGACGACGATGAGGCCGACGAGGGCAGCAGCTAGGAAGTGTGATTTGTAAGGTGTGTATTCGAATTTTGGCGACAAAAAATGTCCTTACTGAAGTTACCCCAGCCCTGCGCTGCAAATACAGCGGTCATGAGACGACCGCGTATTCTTGTCGACGAGAATTCGGAAGAGATGGTCGCAGAAAGCGGGTAGTCACCACCGATACCTATTCCCATCTATAAAGATACGTCGAACCCCGATACTAACATGAGACAGATTTTTATGAAAAGAGACCAAATTTCTCACGAGAAACCGCCAGACAATGATGACCGCAATGATGTTCACGGCATGCGCCTCACCGGCGAGACATTGTGCGAAGCAGCCGACAATAATGATCATCAATTCGACACCGTCTAGAATGATGTCAAACAAAAGATCTGAGGACTCGACAACTTGAGAAAAGTTTCTGAAAACTGAGCACTCACACATGCGCTTGCGACCAAGGAGATCTGCTAGCCAACCAAAAAGCAGCTGGCCGATGAGAGTGCCGACAGGGGTTGCAACCTTTACACCCAAGTCTTGGTTCGCGGAGAGAACCTGCCCTTTACCGTATACATATCCGAGCATCGTCGATGCAATGTTGATCTATATGCGCCGCATTTACTTAACAACAGTCATACAACGTTGAACGCGAAACCTTACAGCAAAGATATCATATCTGGAAGAGATAAGTCAGAAACGTCGATTGCACGAGCCGAATACAAAACGAAACTCACGCATCCGTAAAGAAACCAACACCGGCTACAAGGACGACTTTGACGTGAAACCATCTGCGTTGGCCGTAGATCAATTCAAGTTGTTTATACACAGAAATAAGACTAGAAACTCACGAAAAGCTGGCGTTATCGACCTCCGCGAGCGCAGCGCGACGGCGCTGGTCGAGGGTGTAGACGGCCTGGTTTATCTTAGGGTCGACAGACCCGCGGCTGGAGGTCTTCTCGGAGATGTAGCCTCTGTCCATTGCTCAACGCGGGTAGGGAGTGATGGGAGAAGGAAAGAGAAGTCGCGGCGCCTAGAACGCCGATGAGTTGGTGGTGATTTATATACATGGTGCTCGGCCTGAGTGATCTCGACGGCCATCTCTGTCTAGTTCCTGAGGCGGTGACTTGAGCGCATGCTGTCTTCTTTCTTCTATTTGGGTTCCTCGAACGTGCATGGTTACCCACTTGTCATTGGTTGTGGGTCCACGTCCGTCTTTCGTCTCCCCTGTATACACATAGTTTCCCACGTTATGTCACGTAATTCTCAGTCCACGTTCTACCGAGGATTTTTTCCTCGAGTCAACATCGCGATGCGCGACGAATGTGCTTCCTTTATCGATCCATACGTCCTCGCTGTCCGTGATGTTCCTGCAACTCTTTTCGGCACAGCTGTAGACACTTGTATGGCTGTTCATCGAACACGGCTTCACCTTGTGCAGCTGCCCTCTACATGGATCAACATCTTCAATCGCATTGAAGTACGTGACAACTATGAAATTATGGTCTCTTCTAGCTCAGAACGGACTCGAAGCCTCTCAGAAGCTCTCCGGGGATTAACCATTTTATCCGGACTTTCAAGAGCTCTTCCTATTCCGCGCCGAGTCGCTCAGTCATCTTGCATCTGGCTCTGTCAGATACTGTTTGTGTACCAGCGTGGATGTGGCTAAAAGTTCCACAGGCACCTTCGGTGCCCTGTGCCTTTCCCCCAATGCCAAATCTCCAGCACGACTACACTAACGGAAATTCGGGCCTCCTAGTCGAAACGCCTACCGCAGTCTTCCGTTTGCAATTTCACACAAATGAGACGAATGCTCCCGAAGACGAAATTTGAATTTCTAAAATTTATGCTTTCTCCGGCGCGGCACTTTTTTCTGCATCGCGTCTTTTTTGAACTTTGTCACTGCGCAGTTACGACAACTACCGCTTAGGCACGAGCTACGAACTCCCGCGGTACGAAAGAAGTGTCATCGGTATCGCGTACAGTATATGCTTACACTGATCTCTAGACGCGAAACCTTATTGCACTCGACTCGGCTGGCCGACACAGGCCTCGGCTCTCTCCCATGCTACCGATCTCGAGATAGATGAGCCACCCGCTTTGGCGAGCAGAGCAAACGCGCATCCAGTTGTCCACGCGCTCCTCCACCAAGCCATTTCTCCGAATCCCCGATCTATCTCTGTACGGGCGGCGCACGCGTATCCGTCGCTGCTTCCCTCTCCACAGAGCCTTCCTGTGCCAAGCTTCGCGCGTGTCTTCGACTTCCGCTGTAATAGGTTGTATTTTCTGATGTAGCAACCCGCCCAGCCTGCTAGCTGCTCTGAAGACCAGCTCAAATCCCGCATCTCGTATCTCTCAACGCGCATGTGCTGTCGCTCTCCGCCACTGCATACAAAGGCTTTAGCTTTGATCCTTTGCAGTGTTTGCACTGGTCAACAATCAAATCAAGCAAAAACGGAAAGCTTGACCTGGAGACTCAGATGAAACCGATGGTCCTAATAAACGGATAAAAGTACACAGTCGAGGGGGTTCCTTTCCTCTGCCTTGAGGACCACATAAACATGCCCGATCATCTTATATTCGCTAGGAGAACGCTACATACCGTCCCCTTCCTTTTTCTTGTTTCAGTCTTGATAATTCATGTACATACCTATGCCTCAAAATGCGAATAATTCATATAATTAGAAGCATACATCGGAAGTTAGGGTCCAGATAGTGATGCGCGACGCGCCGACCTGAACAACTATTTGAAAAGAAATCCTCGATAAATTTTTGTCCCAAATAACCGAACTATACCATTAGATCAATAAAGACATACATTCAAAAAAGACTTAGTGGTCTAGCGGTTATGATATCTGTCTAACATGAAAGACATATTGAAAATGTTCATGTCCACAGATGGTTCCAGGTTCAATTCCTGGCTAAGTCATTTTTTGGCCGAGTATAACAGTTCGACTTCTATCGATGCTCTATCTTTGTGAGAAGCTTGGCGGTGGAATTCACGTAAATCCATAACTTTGAAATCGGCAAGAAATGGTAATCGATTTCAGAGGTCGAGGACATTACAAAGGGCATTAGAGCCGCGAGTCAGTCGATGTGAACTGATGATATGGATCCGCAACTAGGAAGATTTATGAAGAAAATTTGACAGACGGAGCACTTCCGTTGATGTGAGGTAGCATTAGTAAGTTCCGAAACGCGAGCCTGGCCGCGCCGAGACTCAATCACGTGCAATAATAAACGAGTCACGTGCACAAATGACAAACGACGTGAGCGCTTCCAAGACTGGATTCCAAGTTCCTTGGTCCTGTCGCTGAAGCTACGAATCTACAACTCTGAACTGGGAGGGTGAGCGAGGATGGGAAAGCTGAACATCGCCCACCACAAATCGTACCATCCTTACAGGCGGGACAATATCGAGCGTGTGCGGCAAGATGAGGAGGAGGCACGCCTCAAGGAGGAGAAAGAGGAGGGGCGCATGATGCTCGCCGTGAGTTGCTTGCTTCGTCTGCTTGCTTGTCTTTTCACGCTCAATTTTACGACCCGTCATGCGTTCGTTTCCATTCGTGCCGAAGGACGCTGAAGCCCGCTTATCTCTGCTCCGCGATCGCTCCGGCGGAGCACCGTCCGCGAAGTCCAAGCGCAAGGAGGACGATGCCCGCGAGCGCGAGCTGCTCGCACAGGCAGCCGACCCGTCTCTGCGGATCGAGGCCGTGGCAGGGCCGTCATCCCTTTCTGCCTTGGGAGGCGGAAAGCATATCAACTTGTTCGAAGAGCTCGAGCAGGTGCGTCTTGTTCTCCAGCTGCGACATATGGTTTCCGACGTCGATGTCTGTGCTACGTAGGGAACTATCTCATCTGCCCTTACGAAAACGCGCGAGCTCGACAAACTTGGCAAGAAGAATGGCAAGGACAAGATGGAGACGGAAAAGGGGGTGCCGCTTGCGCCGAGCGCGAAGGACCTGAAGCCCTGGTACTCGGAGAAGTCGAAAGACTCAGAGGAAGGCAAGGATGACGAGCGCAGGTGAGAGCGTCTACATGCAACTCCGCCCTTTGTCCATTCTGATTTGTACTAGAACGCGCGACCTTTCCCACAAATCCCGCTCCGATCCGCTAGCCGCAATCCAGCGCGAACTAGCAACCCGCTACCCACCCTCCTCATCCTCTACCTCTTCATCCTACCAACAGACAAACCGCAGACGAGAATGGGGCGGTCCGCCCTCACATGCAGCCTCCGCCAGAGCCACACCAGAAGGACAGCCCGATAAGTTAGCTGCGGCAGATCCCGAACGCTCCGCCCGCGAGGCGCGCGAGTCCAGCGAGCGTGCGCGCGCCCTCGCGCTCATTGCGCGCAAGAAGCGCGAGCTGGCGGGCAGTGCGACGCCGTCGACAGTGCGCGGCGGGGAAGACACGTTCCGCTACGGCGACCAGTTCAACTCGCGTGCGGTCGCGGAGGCGCATCGAAGGCACGATATGCCGGATGTCCGGCAGCGCGGGTGGGGTGTAGGCGGGGAGCGCGAGCATGTACATGAGCCCAGAGGAGATCGAGATCGAGATCGAGGGAGGGCAGGGAAGGGGAGGTGGTGACACTTGACTCGTTTTCTTAGTTTGCTTGATGCGTAACTTATAAGACTTGACTTTCTGTTACTGACTTTATCTCGCTATGTTTCTCCGATGTTTCATAAAAGATTTTCTTTCAATTGTTGGGAAGTGTTTAGGGTCACATCGCTTTTGAGTCTTTGACTAATCAAGATTTATATACCAGATTTGACATCGACGACCTGGTCGTCTGTGATGGCCTTAGAAATCAGAACAAACAAGTGGTTTAGCGAAGTACATACTCTTTGATTTTGTTAGAAGAATTTACTTTATGTCTTGGGACAAACTTGAAACTACGAAGTTTCAGTAATATCACGTGATATTTCTTTTTATGTTTTGAATCCCATTTTCTGTGTTTGTTTTTATCCACCATTGGACCACCAAGTCATATCCCCGGGTGAGGCTAGTTTTATTCAAGCGATGCCCCATTGACTGACGTATTTTATTTCCTTAAGCATAGCGCAACGGGGTGTTCAAATTCCTGAAATGTCTGGAAAGAGGAAGAATTCGAATAGGGACTTGCAAATCGACTCGAACACCGCTGTAGCTGTTCATGTTTACAAAAAGGCGAAGCAGGCTCCGCCGCCCCCGAAGCTTCCTACCGAGCGGCTCTGCCTGTCGGCTCTCCGATGGGTAGGCGAGCCGAGAATTTGGAATGCCGATGGCAACGCACCGGTGCGATATGGAGCATATGTTGCCGTCCGCCGCAAAGGCACTGACCCGGCTTACTACCTGTTCCCGTCGATGTGGTCCGCCGAGCACAGAGCTTTTGTTTACAAGGCACGTCGGAAGTCTGGACTCCGCTTCACCTACAAGCGCTCGTCGTTCATTGGGACGACCGGTTCGTCAATTACGTATTACGGCGGTATTTTTGGGGAGGCGGACGAGCAGGACCCGCTTTTTCTAGTGCACCGACCCATTTTACCCGACGCTAAGGCCTCTGCGTTCAAGGCAGTCTACGATGAAAACTGGACAGATGAGGAGCGTGACGAGAACACACCGCCCTTTTACTTCAGCACCGGCGGGCAGGACGAGGTCGTGTCTGCGGTGCCAGAAAGCCAGGTGATAAACCTCGATATGCCTGACCTCAGATGCACCAGGCGGCGAGTAAGGACGGCGTGGATGCAGAGAACAGCGAGGAGACGGAGGATCTCGGCCTCGAACAGGACGCCTTTTCGCAGACGGGGGCGTGGAGCGGGAACTGGTCGCGCAAGTTCATAGAGTTGGCGGGCGAGCATAAACCGCTTGAGGCGCTTGAGAAAGTTATTTGGGACTATGAGCGGGTTTGGGGACTTAAGGTGAAGCTGGAGGTTGTAGCCGGAAGTGTGACGTCGGCGCATGATGTGCGAAGTGATGAGCAGGAAGGGAAACGCAGGCTGGAGTCGTACAAGATTCGGGCGACGGTCGTAGAAGTCTATGTCTCACCCGCGTTTTTCGGCATGCCAGATGATTCGGAAGCGCAAGCAAGTGTGAATCGGGAAACGCATATGGAGACGGCGACTCAACAGGTACATGTTGTGGATTGAGTTTCATTCTGATAGCTTGTGCATTCAATCAAGCTGCAGTACGCATGCGCCGACCTTTGAAGCACCCATCTAGTACTGCTTTCGGTATCCGTGTAAAAGCACTCGTCTCAAATCAGGAATAAGAATTTGGGGAGCGAATTCTAAATTTAAATTATCTACCTTCTTTTTGTAACCTGTGTTTTGACACCAAAACTTTAAGTAGTTCGTGGATTATCATGACGCATAAGTCGCATTCAAAGATCGGGTGCGTCAGAGTTTAAAGAAGATCAGAGTATACGTGAGGAACATTGAAAACTGCAGAGAAACAGATTGAGCGAAGGGCACCAGGAGAGGCAAGCCATCTCGGTCGTTTCGGAGGGCGAGCATGGGTCCTTCGAAACTGTTTAAGAGTGCCCCCGCGGAAGTCTTTTAGTAGCTGGAAGAGAAAGTTAGGTGCTTCAAGCGTTCAAAAATTGCAGTAAGTTATTTTTTGATCTTCCTACAAACTGCTCAGGCCAGTACCATCCACCTCTTGTCAGTGAGTTAGCTGACACAGTCATAATGCTTTTCGTTACTGAAGCTTTGGAATACGTACCATCACAGGATTTAATTTTATATTTTGGAGCACTTGCTCTTATTTTTGTCTCCCGTTCGCTCTGGGAATCTGTGGCGGCGGCGTCGGCGGCGTCAGTGCTGAGTGGCTTGAGGATGATCGACGCTAAATTCACTGCTAAATGAGGATCGGCATGGTTCGGCCGAAAGCGGCCAGCTGGTTTTTTTCTGTGCATTTGACTCGACGCGACCAAGAAGCAGCACCTCTTTCTCCAACCACCTCCTTCTCCCTTTTCACCGTACTATGGCCTCCTTCGCTGCTCGTTCCGCCAGCAACGTCGTCCGCGCTGCGGGGCGCACTGCTCCTCGCAGCGCCGCCGCCGCCTCGCGCTCTACTGCCAGGTCGTTCTCTGTCGCTGCGCGGGCAGCTAAGCCCGCGCTGAAGGCTGCCACGTCTGTCCAGGTATTAAAAAATTCTATTATCTCTGCATAATTAAAATTTCTAAATATAATGTTCTGTAGGCCCGTGGAGTGAAGACGCTCAGCTTCGCAGGTGTCGAGGAGAAGGTTTACGAGCGCGCGGACTGGCCGCTCCCCAAGCTCCAGGAGTACTTCAAAAACGACACGCTGGCGCTCATCGGCTACGGCTCGCAGGGCCACGGCCAGGGTCTGAATGCGCGCGATAACGGCCTCAATGTCGTTGTCGGTGTCCGTAAGGACGGCGAGAGCTGGAGGCAGGCCCAGGAGGATGGCTGGGTCCCTGGCGAGACGCTCTTCTCTATCGAGGAGGCCATCGACCGCGGCACGATCATCATGAACCTTCTTTCTGACGCCGCGCAGAGCCAGACGTGGCCCACGATTGCGCCCCTCATCACCAAGGGCAAGACCCTCTACTTCTCGCACGGTTTCTCCATCGTGTACAAGGACCTCACGCACGTCGCGCCCCCCAAGGACGTCGACGTCATCCTTGTCGCGCCCAAGGGCTCTGGCCGTACCGTCCGCACGCTCTTCAAGGAGGGCCGAGGCATCAACTCCTCGGTCGCGGTCTGGCAGGATGTGTCCGGCAAGGCGCTCGAGAAGGCGACCGCCATCGGTGTCGGTATCGGTTCCGGCTACATGTACGAGACGACCTTCGAGAAGGAAGTCTACTCTGACCTGTACGGCGAGCGTGGTGTCCTCATGGGCGGTATCCGTACGTGCCCATCTTCCACTCTGTACCATATGCTGACCGCTCTGTTAAGAGGGTATGTTCCTTGCCCAGTACAAGGTCCTC